AAAATAAAAAAATAAAAAAAAAATAAAAAAAATAAAGAAAAATAATAAAATATGATAAAAAGAAATGAAAAATAATAATAATAATCAATGATAAAAAGTAATAGAAAATGATAAAAAATAATGAAAAGTGATGAAAAATAATGAAAAATAATGAAAAGTAATGAAAAGTAATGAAAAATAGTGATAAAATAAATATTCAATAAATTATTTTTGTTATTTCTTAGAGTTTACTATTTTTAGAGATTTTTAATGTTTTCAATTATTTTTTGAATTCAGAATTTTCTTGTAATAAATAATAATAAAACAAACTTAAATTTATAACAAATTAAATTAAAATAATTAATAAAAATATAAAATAATTTAATATATATTATCTAAAAATATCAATATGTTATATATTTTAAATATTATAAGTTCTTAATTAAAAAATTAATTCAAATTTAATTCACAATTATAATTTAAATATAATATTTGTGAATTAAATTTAAATTAAATTTTATAATATTTATTCTAATAATTATTAAATTTGTATATATAAATAAAAATTAAAATTAAATATTATAAATTAATAAAGATAAATATTAATAAAACTTTTTTAAATATTATTAATATAGTTAAAATTATTATAAATCTAATTCTAAAAAATTTATTTTATTTTATTATGATTTAAATAATCTATACTCAACAATTTGTTTCATTTTTAAAATTTTTTAACTCAATATAGTGACAAATTTTCAAAATTTGATTGATAACTTATTATAAAGAATAAAGTTATTAATTAAACTTTGAAAATTTTGTCTTTATATTAAGTTAAAAATTTTAATTGAAACAAATTGTTAAGTATAAATTACTTGAATCATATTAAATTCAAAATATATTAATTAAAATTTTATTTAACTTATAATAATATAATTAAGTATAAATATATCATTTTGCTATTAATAAATAATTTTTTATTTTTATTTTTATAATTTTAATTTTAATTTTGTTATTAATTATAATATTTAAATTATAATTAATATATTTATATATTTTTTTATATATAAACAAAAATAAAAAATTTTATTAATTAATACCTTTTTGAATTTGATTACTTTTCATCATTTTTCATCACTTTTTATTATTTTTTAAAGTTTGAAACTTAATTTCTTAATAATTAGTAGTTAAAATTTAAAATATCTTAATATATTTGCTTAATACAATTGTAAAATTATATATTCAAAGAAAAAATATTAAAATTTATTTTTTTAAAAAACTTTTCATTAAATTCAAAAAGTTTTGTTTTATCTAAAATTTTATTAAAAAAATAAAAAAATAATATAAATAGTTAAATTAAAATATAATTTATATAATGTAAAAAATTATAAATTTTAATTAATAATTTATAATTATAATTAAAAAATTTTTACTTTTTTTTATATTAAAAACTTTAAAAATATCTAAAAAAAAGTTCTATATTATTTAAAAATAATTAAAATATTTTTATCATAATAATTATTAATCTTTAACTTATTATAATTATAATAAAATTGAATAGTTGTTTTAAAATTATACTAAGTTATTTAATTCAGATACTTTTTGACAAAATATTACAAGAAATTATTAAACTCGAAACAATAAAATATTAATTCAACAATAATATTTAACTAATACAAATAAATAGTAATCAAATTAATTTTTTAACTCGAATTTAATCATTATTAGCATATATTACAAGCATTAAATTTAGCTTAACAAATTATTGTATTAAATACTACTAATTTAATTCTCTTAACTACTCATAAATATTTAGCTGAAAAATAAAAAAATAAAACTAGTTAATTCAAATATCATTATATAAGAACTAGTTCAAGTACATTAACTTTTTCATTTTTTCTATTTCAAAAAATTCAAACTATATAACTTTTATCTACTTATAGGAGAAATTTAATTTTGTTTCAATCTGATTTTTGAATAGTAAAAAAATGAAGAAAGCATTGAAAAAAATATTCATTAGCAAAAGTAATAGTAATACAATTTTTACTATATAATTAGTTTTCTTTTAAAAAAAAGGTTAGTGTGAAAAAGATATGGTGATTCAGTTATTTGTTAACCTAAAATATGTTTACAATCACATATATTCTAATCTGAACATAATTTTGGCAATATGATTTTAATTAGAAATGTAAAAATAAAGAGCATAAAATTAAATAAATATTTGAAAGAGAAAATTACGACTTTTTTAGCATTTCCACACACATTCAAATTTGATTGGCATAGGAGGAGAATACTCTAAGCCTGGATTTTTCGAGGGTATCATAAAGAATTTCCAAGATAAAATTTTTCAATAGTAATTATTAAAAATTTTCTCTTTTACAAAAAAATCATTGCTATTATTTTCGCCGGGGACTGTACTTAACGGTAAGTCAATAGTACATATTTTAATTGCCTTATATGTACTTTAAAAAAATTCTCAGCGATGAATTTTACTTTAAGAAACTAGTCAAAGGGAATCCACTCAACCCATTTGTGCTAATAACAATAAAAACTCGTCAATTTTGCTAGGTCATCGATAAGAGACATATTAAAAGTAATTGATTATTTTTGAAATAAGAACGAAGCACCGAGTATAAGTTATGAGGTTTAAATAGTTTTATAAAATTTAACGTTAATTATGTATAAAGATAGCAATTTAAAATTTAAAATTTAAAATTCTAGAATTTATTATTCCGTGTTATGTAAAGTATCACGACGCACGAAATTAAAGATAGACTGGAAACAGGTTTCTTCAAGATTTCGGTATTACAAAAAGAGAAAAACGTTAACAGTAATACCATCGCTATCATTATGTATACAGTAGTGATTCAAATTTTGCATTATCGCTATTGAAGAAAAAGCTAGTGGTTCAATACAAACGGTTTTAACATAAAACCAGGTCTAGTTTTTTAATTAATTAATTAAATAAAAACCGGTTCCAGCCACTATCTAGAACATCATAATTAAAACTTGAAACTCATTTCTTTTGTTTATCGTTATTATTATCGTTATGCATGTTTAGAATTTTATTTAGTTAATTTTGAAAGTAACGGTAAATTCCTTACAGAATGATAAAAGATATCCTGCAGGATACAAATTGATTTATCGTACATGTATACGTATGCAATTTAATATAAAGTATCGAATTAAAAATTGATTGTACGTATTTCGTTTTTGCCAAAATCGTAGAGAATCTTGTTTTTTCTGCATCTATTAAAAATTTTAATTTAACATTAACGTTAGACATGGTCCAAGTACAGTCGTAAATGAAGTTACGTATATACTGTTTTTATACACAGAATATCATTTACTAATACAGAATAAATTTCATGTTACGGGAAACTCTATGGCATTATCCAAATACATATACCGGTACAGGTAAAGTCCCCGGCGAAAGTAATGGCGGCCAGTTATTTCATTTAATTGTATATAAAAAATTATTTTGAAAGTGCCTTTGAGTAGGGCATTATGCCCTAAATATCAGTGCTTGGTGTGCTCTCTTTCCGTAAGTTCTAATATAATTAAATGTTCTAAAAATTTTGTAACAAGCGTTTTTAACTAAAAAAACTAAAATTCGCAATAATTCGATAAATATTATTCTGATTAAAATGAAATTACTATCAAAATGTTCGTCTTATTGAAGCGAATATAATAAGTCCAAATTACAAAAGCCAGATCAATGATTATCGAGAAATAAGGGTTGAAATTTTTAAAAACTCACAATCGGGGGAAAATGACTTTCCGTGCTCCTATTAGATTTTCGCAAATTCAACACATTTTTTATTTTTTTTTAATTGATATTATCTTGCTAGAAATCTAGCACTATTATTTATATATTTTTGCTTCTATAAAAAATTTTTAGTATTGTAGTAAAAGTTATATAACGATCACAACCTTACCGCCATTACTTTCGCCGGTGACTGTAGAATCATATTCTTGATTTAACATGTCGAATCACATAATCTTAAATACGTATGCAGTAATCTGTACGTATTATCGTTATGTATGAATACGTATTTAATCGCATCCCACTTCTATGCTCAAATTAGCAAACTCTTTCCTAAATTTCATTCCTATCGTATCGCTACCTCTCACATATGTTTATTTGTACGTACCAGTATTTTATTTTCGCCAGCACACCGTCCTTCAATAATATCAATATGCTAGAAGCATGCGTATGTATTTAGTATATATATGTAATGAAGGTTTCAATTACATGTGTATATATATCGATATGAGTACTCGTGTCTTAAATGTAACACAAGATCTGGATCTTTTTAATACAGATGTTTATTTGAAAGAAAAAAAGCCAGACCAGACTCGAAAAAAATGTCACCAAATAATTTAATTTTAGACAAGATTTTCGGGAATGTTTGTGTCATTTTTCCACATCATCTATAAATTGACTCTACCGTTACATCGAAGCACAATTTTATTTGCATTATAATCAAAAATCTTTTTCGTCACGTTCTCGTTTTGTTAATAAATTTCAAATATCATCTTGATTACATTCTTTACTCTTATTTTTGTCATTCATAAATAATCCAATTTCATTCATAAATAAAACCTAACAACAATAAACGTATCTACGCTGATGGCGGCAAAACTACCACAAGACTGTCTGAGACAGATATTGGCAGAATGTCATGTTAATGACGTTCCCCTATACAATTATTTGTTTGTTAATTGGTCGTGGTGTGAATGTGTCACGCCGTTAATATGGCAGAAACCATTTGAGCGAAAAGATGGTACCGTTTTTCGTGAGGAAAAAAGTTTTCAATTTATTAGAACTTTGATAACTTGTTTACCAGACGATTCTAAAGAATTTCTTCACGAAAACGACATTCAATTACCGCATAATAATCGTAAAATCCAAACCTTCGATTACCCAGCTTTTATCCAGAAATTGGAACCACAACGTTTGAGATGGGCAACACGAGAATGGATCGATAGATTAGCACAAACATCACCAACGACGACTCCCATAATCGATGAGAACAAACAACTACTTAATCGAAAAAATTTTATTCTATTACAAGAGATTTTGAAATTATTAATACGACGAGGAAAACGGCTTTCTAAATTTGTCTTGTCCGAAACATCTACTGCTTATGATGATGGCGTAAACATTCCATTCTACTTGCTTCCAAATGCACAAACCTTTATGGAACAACTTAGGCTTTTAGTATGTGTTTTTCCACACGAAGTCCCAGATTCCACATTTTATTCACTAGCACAATCAGCAACAAATATCGAAGCATTTGACATTTCTGTAAGGGACGAAAGTGAGGGCTTAATTCAACTTATACGGAATCAACGTGGCATAAAAGAACTAACACTTTCCGGTGATCGGTTAAACCATAAATTTGATGAAGCTTTAAAAGCGCACACACCAACAATAACACACATTGAATGCTTTGAGACTTTGAGCATATCTCCAGACACGCTGATTCAATGTCGAAATCTCAGAGTTCTTAACTTGTATTGTAAAATTCCTGAAAACACTTTTATAATTTTAGGAAATGCGCAGTTCCCATTTCTTACAAAACTTGATATACAGCTACGAAATAAATTGGATCTAGAGCGTTTAAGCCGGATCATCCAGACAACCACGGGACGAATGAAGGTTCTAAAACTGCATTGGGACACATTTGATCCTGAAAATACATATACGTTGATTAAAGCTATCGGCGATTACTGTCCACGCATTGTTGAACTAGTGATTCCAATCAAATCTGAAGACGCTTCCGGATTAGCTTTCTTACTTTCGAAATGCTGTCACATACGATCAATAATGTTGATTTCGAAAGCTGACATCGTGCAAGATGGAGAACAACTTGTTATTGCAATTGCCGATAATGCTTCGGCAGCATTAAGAAGTTGCATTATTTGCGGTCGATGGAATTATACACCCGAAGTCTGGCAAACATTTTGTGAGCGACAACAAAGCAACTCGCCACCAATCCGGATCTCACTAATTGATAAAATTAAATTGAGCCCAGAAATTACTAAAATTCTGAGGGATTATACTAAATCGGGGCGTATAATATATGATGGATGAGAATCAAGTTTCCATAAATATTTTTATTAATTTTATCATTTATTTTTTCTTTTATCAATAATAGCTTTATATGAATTCTATTAATTATCTATGCCAAAAAAATTGTATATAATGCAGTAAACTAAAAAAAAAGATTAAGATTGCAAAAAAATAAATTTTTATCAAATATTGTAAATTCTCGATGTTCTATTACGGTTAAAAAAGTGAGAACTTGGAAAAACAGGAAATATACTTTCGACCGTAGAAACTCCTCAGCATGTACCATCGGTGCTATCCGATATTTTCGACTCTACCAGGAAGTTAAAGGTTCGGAAAATCCGTCCCTTGACGATCGGCACTACCGGTCATAATCCGACGGAATAACCACCCAGCTCACCCACGATCGATTTTCTCTTCACGTAATTTTTCCGATCCCTGATGATCTCGAAACCAATGAGAATACGCAAATTTGATGAGTAATGCAAAAAATACGGGAAAATAGATGACATTTATAATTTTTAAAGTTTTTTATGTCACGAATTAAGATAATATTTTTTAATGTAAAAAGATACAGAAGAATAAGAAAAATAAAGTTATGAAAAACATTTGTTAATTGTTTAAGTTTAATTAAGTTGAATCCTTTTAAAGTTAGTAATTACATGTATTATTAATAAAGGTAACAATTAGGCCAGTTCAACTCTAGTCATGTGATAAAAGCAGACACTTCTAATTGGTTACTATAACCAAAGTTCGAAGCAATAAATTACATGTTACTTTATTATTACATGTAATAAAAAAGAATTATGATTGATTAGATTACGTAATTATTACATATCTACAATAATAATAAAAAATTGGTTACATGACGCAGTATTTGCTGGTTTAAGATGTTCCGCACTGTAACACTAATAAAATTGGATGGAATATTATAGTATTCTAAAAAGTGACAATTACATGTA